TCCGTGTCCACATCCAAATGACGGGTGGGGTCTGTGCCCCTTCCTTCCTTGGGTCCGCTCGAAGCCCCAGGTCTGTCCCGCGGGGGACACCCGTTCCTTTATTCCATTTTGAGATGGGCACAGGAGCCCCCCAGTGCCTGCCCTTAGCAATGCCCTGTAGCTGGGGTTTTGAGACAGACCTCACTTGGCCACAGCCCTGCAGGACTGAGGTATTCTGGGAGGTTTGGGACAGCAGCACGGACTCCTCAGCCCCCAGCGTGGCATGTGGTGCCTCTTCTCCTGCCCCCAGTGCTGGGCAGGTGCAGGGCAGACCCAGAGGCACACGGGTGGGCTGTTCACAGCACAGGCATGGGGAAGGGGCACAGCCCCCCTGGATGCTGGGCTGACCTCGAACCTCCGGCTTCTCCTCCCCTTTGCCCAGCCCACGGTGTTTCCTTGGTGACTCACGTTTGCATCAGTGACTCCTGGGAAGGGGTCAGCCCCCACCTCCCTGCGCAATGACAGCAGGTCCCAGCTTGCCAGCAGAGGCCAAGCCTGGTGGTGACATGAGTGGCCCACTGTGACAGTGGGGAAGCATCCTGAGAGCAATCTAGCCCACCTTCTCTCTTTCCAGGTCAGAAACTGAGGCCAGGCAAGGGCAGGTCCACAGGATTTGGTGTCTAGCCTCAGAGCCCACATCCCTCATCACTGAACTCTGCTACTTCTGTAAATCAGGAGCAAGGCATCCAGTTACCACTGGGTTCTGTGTGAAGGCCAAATAGGGTGGAAAACTTCATTTTAATGGAGTGAAGAGAGAACTTAGTAGAGCTGCTGTAATAATGATAAGGATTAGGATGGGGTGATGATGATGGTGGTGATGCTGGTGATGATGGTGATGGTGATCGTGGTGATGATGGTGATGATGATGGTGTTGACCATGATGGTGTTAATGGTGGTGATGAAGGTGGTGGTGATGATGATGGTGGTGGTGATGATGATGAAGGTGATGGTGATGACCATGATGGTGGTGATGGTGGTGATG